AAAAAAAAAAAGGCTCCAGGTATTGATGGAATACTCATTGAGATGTTTCAACAGACGGATGCTGGGCTGCAGGCACTCAGTCAGCTATGCCAAGAAATTTGGAAGACAGTTACCTCACCAACTGACTGGAAGACAGCCTTATCTGTACCCATTCCAAGGAATGGGGAATTATTGAACAGTATCATTAATATCACACACAAGTAAAACTCTGCTGAAGATAATTCAAAAACGGATGTAGCAGTATTACTGACAGAGAAGCCAGAAATGTAAGCTGGATTCAGAAAAGGACATGGAATGAGGGATATCATTGCTTATGTCAGATGGATCCTGGCTGAAAGCAAATACCAGAAAGATGTTTACTTATGTTTTATTGACTATGCAAAAGCATTTCACTTTGTGGGTCATAACAAATTATGGATAACACTGCAAAGAATGGGAATTCCAGAACACTTGATTGTGCTCATGAGGAACCTGTACATAGACCAGGAGGCTGTCATTCGAACAAGGGGATACTGCATGGTTTAAAATCAGGAAGGGTGTCTGTCAGGATTGTATCCTTTCACCATACTTATTCAATGTGTGTACTGAGCAAATAATCCAAGAAGCTAGACTCTGTGAAGAAGAACGTGGCATCAGGATTGTCGGAAGACCATTAACAACCTGCGATATACAGAAGATATAATTTTGCTTGCTGAAAGTGAGGATGACTTGAAGCACTTACTGATGAAGATTGAAGACTACAGTCTGCAGTATGGATTACAACTCAACATAAAGAAAACAAAAATCCTCACAACTGGACCAAAAAGCAGCATCACGATAAAGGGAGAAAAGATTGAAGTTGTCAAAGATTTCCTATTATTTGGTTCTACAATCAATACCAATGGAAGTAGCAGTCAAGACATCAGACAACCTATTCCACTGAGCAAATCTGCTGCAAAAGACCTCTTTCAAGTGAACAGCAAAGATGTCTCTTTGAAGACTAAGGTGTGCCTAACCCAAGCTATGGTATTTTCAATAGCCTCATATGCATGTGGAAGCTGGACAATGAATAAGGAAGACCAAAGAAGTGCTGATGCTTTTGAGTTGTGGTGTTAGTGAAGAATACTGGAAGTATTATGGACTGCCAGAAAAATGAACAAATCTGTCCTGGAAGAAGTGCAGGTGGAATGCTCCTTGGAAGTGAGAATGGTCAGACTTCACCTCACCTACTTTGGTCATATTGTCAGAAGGGACCATTCCCTGGAGACAGTTATCATACTTGGTAAAGCAGAGGATCAGAGAAAAATTGGAAGGCACTTAACAAGATGGACTAAGGGGCTGCAACGATGGACTCAGGAATAGCAAGGATTGTGAGGCTAGCACAGGACCAGCAGGCTTTCATGCTGTCATACACTGTGTGGCTATGAGTTGCAACAAACTTGATGGCCCCTAACAACAACAGAGTGAAAGTGAAAGTAAGTCTTAAAAAACTATTTTTTTGTTGTTGAAAATTAAAGTTCTGTAAGGTCAAAAAGTTCATTTGAATCACCTTTCCCTCATGCAATGCTGTTAACAGCACTAAACTGATTTTTCTTTATATAATTCTGACTTAAAACTTACTGTGGAGGGAAAATATAACAAAAGAAAATGTATCAAAATTTTAATAGTTACTGTCTCTATTGGAAGGAGTGCAGGAGGCACTGTGGTTAAAGCATTGGGTTGCTAATCAAAAGGTCCTTGGTTTGAAATCACCAGCTGCTCTGCAGGTGAAAGATTAGGCAATCTGTTACTGGCAGCGGATTTGATTTGGTTCTGGTCTCTATTGGATGGAATTATGAGTGATTTCTGTTTTTTTTCCCTCTTTTCTATTTTTTGAGTTTTCTAAATTCTCTATAGTAAATAGGCATTTTTAATACAGCTTTGTTGTAATTTATAAACCATAAAATTCACCCATTTTCAGTGTACAATTTAATGGTTTTTAGTAAATTTACAAAGTTGTGCAAACATCAACACAATCAAGTTATAGAACATTTCCCTCACCCTCAAAAGATCCCTCATGTGAATTTGCATTCAGTCCCTTTCCTACCGCAACACTCAGGCCACTTTTCTCCTAAACCTACTTTTTCTCTAAAGATTTGCCCTTTCTGGACATTTCATTCAAATAGAATCATGCAGCATGTGGTCTTTTATATCTGGCTTCTTTAATTTAGTATAATGTTTCTGAAGTTCACCCTATGTTGTAGCATTAGTTACCTCGTTTCTTTTTGTAATTCAGTAATATCTCATTGCATTACTATACCATTTTGCTTATTTATTCACCAGCTTAAACATACATGGATAGTTTCCACATTTTATGAATAAACTGCAATGAACATTCACGTACAAGTCTTTGGGTAAATGTATGTTTTCATTTCTTTGGGGCAGATACCCAGGAATAGAACTGCTAGGTTGTCTGGTAGATTTCAGACTCTGTGGGTGGTGCAACCCTGGCTGTTAACCGTAATGTGGGTGGTTTGAGTCCACCCAGAGAGCCCTCAGGAGACAGGACTGGTGATCCACTGAAAACTCAGCCAATGAAAACCCCATCGAGCACGTTCTACCCTGCATACATGGGGTCGGCATGAATTGGAACTCAACTCACTGTCATCAAGCAATTCCAACTCTCAGTGACCTCCACTGGGTTTCCAACGCTGTAAATCTTTACGGAAGCAGACTGCCTCATCTTCTGTAGAGTGGGTGTGAACCACTGACCTTTTGGTTATCAGCCAAATGCCTTAACCACATACCAGCAGAGCTCCTGAGCTCTGATACTCCAAATAAAGGACATGGAACAGAAAGAACTATGCAGTAGCAAGTGCTATCCTTGCCCATCAGCCAGGCACTCTGCTACCTGCCTGTCACCTTAGTGCTGCACAGAGCTCCTGTCTGCCCCACTCCAGTATGGGCTGACAAGGTAGTCTGTGGACTTAACAGGAAATTTGACTAAAATAATGAAATAATTATTTCAGAATAATTAAATTAAAAAATTTGAAATAATACAGGGGACACTGAGGAACATTTCTGAAGTAGAGGAGTTAGTTATGTTTGCAGAGGAGGCTCAGTGACACAAGGGCAGCGTATGATCTTTGAGGTTAGTTAGACCTGGATCTGTATGTTAGCTCAACTCCATACTAACTGGGGGACTTTGGTTAAGTCACTTGACCTGAACAGGCTTATTTAATTCCACTATCACCTCCCCAGAAGGTTACTGCAAAATGTGAAAAAGTGATTGTAAGAAAGTACTATAAACACAGACTGTGAAATCTTCCAGGCCCTAGCCCAACAAAGACAGCTAAATGTGAGTGCTCTTGTTCCTTTCTCCCTAAGCTAATTCTTGGAGGATAAAACGTATGTTCTTATAAGAATGCAGGATATTTCTGAATATAACAAGATTCAATTTTTTAGTTTATTTTTTAAAAAACTTTTATTGTGGTGAAACCATACACACAAAGACATTTATAACATAACTTGCACATGTACAGCCCAGGGACACTGATGACATTTTTCATGTTGTGCCACCATTACTGCTATCCTTTTCCAAAATATTCCACCACCATCAGCATAAACTCAATGCCCCACAAACCTATCCCTGGTAACCACTAATAATCTTAAGATTCAATTGTTTAAAAGGTTTTTTTCTTAATACCAATTTAGAACATCTGACTTTAATAATCATTCCTCAAATGCTGCCTTGTTTCTAATCAAATTAATTAGCCTCATGCTATTTTTGCTTAGAGCCTTTGAAAACTGATATAATGATTTGAACTTCTAAAATATACTACATTCTTAGTAATAACACATGCACTAAGAATTTATGTGGTAACTAAGTACCTGTTACACAAAACCATCACGGAGCAGACTTTGTGAGAAAAAACTCAAATGCAGAATGACTAGAGGTCATAAACATGTGTATGACTGATCTTTTGCCCATTTCCATCAGGGCCACTAGCCTTCTTAACTAATTATCTTATAGCTGATATGTACCTAAAGAGAGTAGAAACGAATGAATATTCTGAAAATTGGAAATGTGAATTTCATTTTATCCTTTAAAAATTTGCTTTCTTTGTTCAGTTTCTAAGATCTTTAATGTGATGTAAATTCTACTACATGTAATGAATGATGCTTTTCATCTCTAAAACGTCAAAAATGGAGTGATAGGATGTATGTGTCTACATGTGTACCGGTAAGCATGTGTATAAGAAACATAGTATATTAATTTTAAAGACAGATTTTTTAAAACATACTACAGTGAAGCCAATAAATAATATATCCGATTATGAATCATTTGTGTAATAAGGGCAGAAATGTCCTTTTCACTTACTCGCACTGCTGCTACATCCTGGGACATTTTCTCCAGGAGAGTAGCTCATGAGACCTCCATTCCCATTAGGATTAGAAGGCACTGATGCAAGAAGACCTAAAGGGAAAAAATTTTCTATTAAATTATGATCAGATAAAATTCAAGGATACATACATACCAGCTGCCAAAGAAACAAATTAAAGACAGTTACTGACATACCAAGCCCTCTGTATCGTGAAAGTTGCTGATAGATCTGTTTCATCCTTTCAATATTCAAACGGCTGGCCTCAGCATGGTTCACCATTGGTTTAGGATAATTGATTCCTATCAAACATTTGGCTACCTTCTGGATACCTTCTGGGGCATTCCAGGGATCATAGATATACTTTGCAGGGAAGCCTCTCAGGACAGGCAAATAACGCCTTTTAGGAGAAGGAAGAAAAATCATTATTAAAATGCACTGTAAGCAAATGATAAACTATTAACTATGCACAACCAAAATCAAATTGATGTCATTTAAGTGATCTATTTACCCTTCTCTTCATCTCTACTGTCCCCATCATGAGGGGGGAAGACTTTTGCTTTAAACATGAAAGCTCTTCCTGGATTAGCTATTCCAAACTGAGTACTATCACCCTTATTTACCTGATATAGTCTCCATTGGGATCTGTTCTCCTACCAAATCCAACAGGACAGTAGCAGTGAAAAAACTGCTGGAAGAAGGAACTACAAGACAGCCACATCCAACTTCCAGCATTTATGCTCCAATCTGCATCAAGCAGTAATTCTTCAAATACCTTCAAAAGTAACAGTAGTCAATTAGTTTGCACACATAAAATTTCAAAGCAAGCATTTTCCTGGTCATGGTAGGTCAAATCAAGGCAAAGAAAATTAAATACAAAATTGTTAAACATTCTATTAATAGTTTCCTTGTCTATGTCCTGTTGCACAAAATTCTGTAAGAAGCCTATTTGTAACATGAGAAGATTTCTGAATAAAACTGACGTTTCTAACCATTGCACAGTGTTATAAGAGGAAGAAGGGAAAGGTAAAATAATTACTCAAGTCACCAATTTAAATAGATGAGAAGGAGATTAAAAAAAGAAAAAAAGCAATAAAACACTTTCTAGAAAGCAAAAATGCTACCAAGTAAATAACCAATGAAAACGTTTGGTCCATTGACCTACAAAAAGGAAACACACAATATACAAAAGACCTTTACAAATTTACTTGTGTCATATATTTAAATTTGGATCCAAAAGGGAAAAGAGAATTAAAATAAATGATTTTTAAAAAAGTGTGCTATACATTTACTTCATGTACTACTTTGTACTAGGAAATATAAGAGATGCAAAATATCATAGAATCAAGAAACGGTCCTAAGATAGGGAAAAGTAATAATATAGCCAAGAAAGTGACACATATACATGAGTCATATTATATATAACCATAAGATGATGTCACAGAATGAAATATGCTTCACTTTAAAACCAAAACACCAAAACTGTTGCTATCAAGTCAATTTTGACTCACAGCAACCCTACAGGAGAGGAAACAGCCCCATAGGGTTTCCAAGGCTGTAAACTTCATGTAAACAGACTGCCACATCTTTCTTCCACAAAGCAGCCGGTGGGTTCAAACTGCTGACCTTTCAGTTAGCAGCCGACTGACTTAACCACTGTGCCATCAGGGATCCTTGAACTACAGAAATGTTCCTAAAAGGCTATGATGGTGAAGAGAGGTAAATATTTGAAATTTGTCATAAAAATTCACTATTTCTAAGAACTTTTTTTTTAAAATTATGGTTTGGGTGAAAGTTCATAGAGTAAATTAGTTTCCCAATCAACAATGTATACACATTTTGTCTTGTGACATCAGCTGCAATTCCCTCAATGTAACAGTACTCTTCTCCCTTCTTTCCTGGGTTCCCATTTTCCATCTGTCCTCCTTTCCTATCCCTTCCTGCCTTCTGAGCTCTGTTTCTGGGCAAACACTGTCTTTTAGACTTGTACGGATGACTGTTTTAAGGACTCATGCGCGTTACTATCCACTTTGTAGGCCTGTCTGTTGTTTGGCTGCAAGGTGATCCCTGGGCAAGGATTTGAAGGGTGTCTAAGGGCCACAGCCTCAGGGCCTTCACCAGTCTCTGTATCAGACCAGTAAGTCTGGTCTGGTATGATTTTGAATTTTGTTGTACATTTTTCTCCCATTCTCTCCAGGACCTTCTGTGGCCCCGAATAGAGTCAGTACAGGGAGCCGGGCACCATCTAGTTCTTCTGGTCTCAGGGTAGTGGAAGCTGTGGTTCACATCGTCCATTAGACCTTTGGACTAATTGTTTCCTTGGGTCTTTGATTTTCTTTACTCTTCTTTCCTCCGGATGGGGAGCGACCTCTAGTTGTATCCGAGATGGCAGCTCACTAGCTTTTAAGACCACAGTTGTTATTCACCCCAGGAGGGTGTAGAACATTGTCTTTGCGAACTATGTTATGCAACCGACTGACTTAGCTGTCCTCCTAGACTGTGGCCCTAAGCCCCCAAGCCCAGTGACTCATGCAAGGTATGTGGTTATAGCTAAGATGTTTTCATAACTTTGCCCCATTTGCTGTACTATATATATGGATATATTTATAACATGCAAATACATATGTAGAAATATCCTCTGCCAAACCTATATATAGTTGTGGGTGAAGTCTCGTTCCCCTACCCACACCTGTTCAATGTGCATGTCTCTGTATCCACTCAAAGATTATTGTTTGTTATTGCAGGATTGTGTATGTAATAGTATTTACCTTTGTTGTCTTTAACTCTTGTGCACCTCTCTGTGTCTTCCTTTGCCTTAGTGATATTGTCATGATCACCCCCTTGAACATATATGGCTTTTCCTTCACCCAAATAATTATGCATCTATTCTCTAGTCTGATTTTCCCAGACTTTTTATAAAACAAAAAGTGGTCTCATATAATATTTTCCTTTTGTGATTGACATTTCACTCAGCATAATGTCTTCTAGGTTCACCCACGTTATGAGGTATTTTGTGGACTCTCCGTTATTCTTTAACATTGCACGGTATTCTATTGTGTGTCTGTACCATAGTTTGTTCATCCATTCATCCGTTGGTGGGCACTCAGGTTGTTTTCATTTCTTTGGTACTATGAATAATACTGTGATGAACATGAGTGTGCATGTCTATTCATGCCACAGCTCTTATTTCTCTAGGATATATATCTAGTAGTGGGATGGCTAGATCAAGTGGGATTTCCAAGTTTTTAAGGAAGTACCACACCATTTTCCAGTGACTGTTCCGTTTTACAGTCCCACCAGCAGCATATGAGAGTTCCAGTTTCTCCATACCCACGCCAGCATTTGTTTTGTGTCTTACTGAATTTTGGTATTATTGCTGGGGTGAGATGGTATCTCGTCGTTTTGACTTACATTTCTCCAATGATTAATAACTGTGAGCATTTCATGTGTTTGTTGACCATTTGGATGTCTTCTTTGGTGAAGTGTCTGTTCAAGTCTTTTCATTTTTTAGCTGGATTGTCTTTTTTTGTTGAGGTGTTAAGAGATTTCTATAAATTTTAGAGATTGGTCCCTTGTCAGATATGTCATTGCCAAATATTATTTCCCAATCTGTAGTTTCTCTTCTTACTCTGGAGAAATCTTTTGATGTGCATAAGTGTTTAATTTTTAGGAGATCCCAGCCATCTAGTTTCTCTTCTGATGTTTGCATAATTTTGGTTACGTTTGATAGTCTATTTATGCCATAAATTAGGCCCCTAAGTTTGTCCCTATTTTTCCTTTGATGACCTTTTAGTTTTAGGATTTATACTTAGGTTTTTGATCTTAAGTTAGCTTTGGATATGATGTGAGGTATGGATCTTGTTTCCTTTTTCTGCAAATAGATACCCAGTTAGGCCAGCACCATTTGTTAAAGAGAGTGTATCTTCCCATTTAATGGATTTTGGCCTATTTTCAAAGACCAGCCGTTCCATAGGTGGATGATTTACTTCTGAGTTCCCAATTCTGTTCCATTTGTCTATGTGTCTGTCCTTGTACCAGTATCAGGCTGTTTTGACTAGTATGGTTGTATTGTATGCTTTGAGATTATAGGAGGCTTGAGGCCTCCTACCTTGTTGTTCTTTTTCAGTAGTGCTTTGCTTATATGGAATCTTTTTCCTATTCGTATAAAGTTGGTGACTGGTTTTCCCATCTCTTTAAGGAATGCTGATGGATTCTGGATTGGAACTGAATTTTACCTATAAATCGCTTTGGGCAGTATTGACATTTTTACAATGTTAAGTCTTTCTACCCATGAAAGCATGGTTTCTTCTTCCATTTATATAGGCCTCTTTTGGTTTCTTGTAGTAGAGTTTTGTAGTTTTCTTTGTATACATCTTTTGTATCTCTGGTTAGGTTTATTCCTAAGCATTTTATCTTTTTGATAGCTATTTGTAGATGGTATTTTTTTCCTTATCTCCTCTGCAGAGGTTCTCTTTGTTGGTGTAGAGGAATCTGATTGATTTTTCTGTGTTGATCTTGTATCCTGCCACTTCTATTAAGTGTCAAATCTTTCTATTAAGCTCCAGTAGTTTTCTTGCTGAGTCTCTGGGATTTTCTATGTATAGGATCATATCATCTGTAAACAGAGATTACTTTCACTTCTTCCTTACCAATCTGGATGTCTTTTATCTTGGGTGAATCTTTTTTGATGACAGAAATGATCACCTGTATCTATCCATTAAGTCCAGTTTCACCATTTTTCCATCTGACTGTACCTTCATGCTCTCTAAAAGTATGGGAATTAAATGCTTTTTCCACTGAAAAACTAGACTATAAATGAATCTACACAATAGACAACTTCTAAGATTTGTTTTAATAGGGTAGAATTCTTTCAAAATAAGGTGATGCTACATTAGTTAGAAGAACACTTACCTTCATTCCTTCTTCCCAACTAATCCACAGGTCACCTCGTGTCAGAAAGCAAGCAACTGCATGTCTGGCTAAATGGTGAATCCAACCCTCTTGACGAAGTTGTGTCATAATGGCATCAATCCATGGAAAACCTGTCCGGCCTTCTGCCCATTTGGCTAAAGCCTCAGGATTCTTATCCCAAGGAATCTGAACACAGATAGGGTTTCCTTCCATTTTATCAAAGCGTGGATTATTTGTTGCTGCTGTATAGAAAAATTCACGCCATAATAGCTGCCCATAAAGAGAAAGGGGAGGGGAACTGTTTTTCTTTACCTAAGAGCAAAAAACAAAGTATTATCAGGCAATTGATTAAAAAGTATTTTGAAAACTAGGCTCCAGTTTTAGATAATACCTTTTTGTAGAGATCTGTTAGTTTGAAGTAAAATAGTCGACATGACAAACAACCAAATCGGAGGTAAGGACTGAGTCCAGTAGGGCTTGCAAGCAGGGAATTTGCATTCATTCGAGGTCTTTCAAAGTTTGCCACCCAAGCCTGGTGAAAACATACATAAAGAATTACATTATCTAAATGTCTTTGCCATTTTAAAAGAGTAGTCAAATTTGAGATTTGTTTTTAAAGTTACTCTTGGGGAATAAAATCTTAATATTCAAGGTACAGATGATATGTTTTAATAAAAAATAAGAAAGGACAAAAGAAAGTATTTTTTTTAATTTCAGCCATCCTCACGTGAAACAAGTTACTTTCAAATTTCTAACACAAGGCTGAGAGCACCTTCAGCCTGTCTCTTTGATACTCTTAAGTACAATAAGGTGAAGGTGAAAGAGAACTCCTATCCTAGCTTCAAAGTTATGGTCATCAGATCCCACCAACACAGGTAGAAAAAAAGAGGTAGTATGGGGAAATAATCAGAAGAGGATGGTGAGGAGTATTTAAATGAGCAGATAATATTGCTCAAACAATTAAGTTTGTGTCGTTTTAACTATTTCCCTCAGTCTTCTTTCTTCAACAGTCTGGTTTTTATCTTTTTAAACACAGTGAAATATTATTTTCAAAATGTCAGTTTAGACATATAAATATGGCTATATTCTTTGTATTGTCTTACTTTTCTTTCCAAATGCCTTTCCAAACGTGTAAGTGCTTCAGTTTCTCCACCTGGCCACACTGCAGAGGGTAAGCCATCTGTATCAAAACCTGGGGGGAAAAAAAAATTCTGAACTGTCAACCTTCTGGTTAGCACTCAAATGCCTGAGGCATTATGCCATAAGAACTCATTCTGAAACTAAAATAATTTTTACTTAACTGCAATTATAGCAGGAAAACTATGGAAGTAGCATAAAAATTAGTTGAGGGCACTGGAAAGGCTCTCATAAATAGAGTATTTGACATGATCTCTGCTATTATATAGGACCTACATCTTAAAAGTGATAAAGAGAGAATACATGAATAATAAATATATTTATCGCTTCTTAGTTTAAGAGTTTCAATAAAATTTTTTCTTTCTTCTTTTAGTATTTACTTATACTTTACATGGCTGAATGAGAAGTGGGATTTGTGATTTATTAACAAAAGTTCCACATTTATTACGGCTTATACTCACCTAAGGAGCTCTGGCAGCATGCCAGAAGGCTGGCGGTTCAAACCCACCAGCCACTCCTTGGAAGGAAGGTTGGGCAATCTACTTCCATAGTGATACCACCTTGGAAACCCAAGGAGGGGTCGCTATGAGTCAAGTCTGACTCAATGGCACATACCACCACCACCACCACCACTCACCTAGTTCTTCCAGTGAAGGGACTCCATATTTCTCATCATGGTCATCAGATAGAGGAGTTGTGCACTTTTCTGTCACTTCTGAAGTAATTGTCTCTACTGGTATCTCTAGCGGTTCCATTTTGCTGATTAGAGTCTGGAATCTTTTATAGGTTAGAGGTGGCTGTCCACCATTGAGTTCTATGATCCTATTATAAGAATTAGTAAAATGCAGTTAGAATAAAAAATAACAATATATTTTGGTTGATAAACTCTGAAAGGCTTAAAATCAGAACATAAAACTAATCACTTAAAACTTCGAAGAGAATGTTAGCATCTTATATGACCAGGAAATTGGGGCAGAATGGTTAAGGAGTCTAAAAATCATTATCTTTATTTTCTAAACATCTGCCACACATGAAAAACATACAGTATGCAAATACTAAAACCTTTAAAAAACAAAAAAGTGTTTAAATTTGCCTAAACACAGAACACATATTATATATATGGCTACGTAAAAAATACATTACAATCCAGTTCAGAGAACCTCACAATCATCAATAAAAAACAAAACCAGGCCAAAACTATACTAAGGAGCAATTAGCAAGTCTCATTAGTTAAGACTCTACATTAATACAGTGACATCACTTGCTATTTTCAATTGTGTGTATGACTTCATTGGAGATGTCAGCAAATGTATTTTATGTTACATACTTTGGACAAATTTTAAGTTATTTAATTTAAAGCACTTTTTTTTTTTTGATATATTGTAGATTTACATGCAGTTGTTTTTTTTTAAATTGTGATTTGGGTGAAAATTTACAGCAAATTCACTTTCCATACAGCAGTTCACATACACTTTGTCTCATGACAATGACCACAATTTATCACCATGCAACAGCTCCCCTCCCACTTCCTCCTGATAGTTACCTCTTCCCTGTATCCATCCCTCCATGCACTCCTGCCCCCTGAGCTTTCCCCCTGTGCATAAGGAGCCCTTCTTTCTCCCATGATTGTTCTCTCCAAGGAGTGTATCTACCTCAGGTAAATGTTCAACTCCTATGGTTTAAGCACTTTTTATGTTTATTAATAATCACTAATTTCCTCAATTAATCCATATTTCAAAAGAATAAATTAGCCTTGCCAATGGCAGTTTGGATTAGATGCTATTTTGGAATAACTATTTTTCTTCACTAAGGACATTTGGTAGCATTTGGCCGTAACATAAAATTACTGATAAAATCCAACTTCTTCATTTTACAGATGAGGAAATCAAATCCTACTGTGAGTGTTAACTAACTTGGAAAAGGTCACATAATGGATATTACCATAAAAGCTATTTTCTCTGCCTTTACTGACTTTTGCTTTGGTGTGATATTTTGAGTTTATATACACAGGGTCATAATGAAATTTGCTGATTGCAATAATACTACAATGACACTATTGAGGACAATGATAATTGTCTAACATAGTAACAAAATGAGAACCTTAGGAACAAATATTTTCTGTATGTTACACTTTTATGGATTTTATCTAGTAAATATTCAAAGCCAATTCAGTAAACATTAATTTTGTGCGTATTACTGAGTCTTCATCTTACAATCAACTGCTCACGTCCTGTGTATCAGCTCCCTAAAAGTAAGCAAACTGCTAAACTAGAAGACAAATTTATTGTCAAAGGATATACGATTTCTCCACTGCTCATCTGTCAGTTTGTCATACTGTGGTGGCATGTGTGTTGATGTGAGGCTGGAGGCTATGCCACCAGTATTTCAAATACCAGCAGGGTCACCCAGGGTGGACAGGTTTCAGTGGAGCTTCCAGACTAAGACAGACTCAGAAGAAGGAAGGGGCCATCCACTTCCAAAAGAACTGGCCACTGAAAACTCTATGGATAGCAGTAAAATGCTGTATGATTGATATATTACTGGAAAACTTTATGAAGAGTGAAACACTGTCTGACATAGTTCTGGAAGATGACCTCCTCAAGTCAGAAGGCACTCAAAATACAACTGCAGAAGAGCTGCCTCCTCAAAGTAGAGTCAACCTCAATGACATGGATGGAGTAAAGTTTTGGGGACTTTCATTTGCTGATGGGCAGAATTCAAAATGGGAAGAAACAGTTGCAAACATTCACTACTAATTGAAATGTGGAATATATGAAATATGAATCTAGGAAAACTGGAAGTTGTCAAAAAGGAAACGGAATACATAAAGGTTGATATCCTAGGCAATAGAGAGCTGAAATGAACTGGTAATTGGCCATTTTGAATCAGACAATCATATGCCGAGAATCCACTATGCCGAGAATGACAAACTGAAGAGGAATGATATCTCATTCAGCATCAAAAAGAACATTTCAAGATCTGTCCTGAAGTACAATGCTGTCAGTGATAGGATAATACCCATATGCCTACAAGGAATACCAGTTACTACTACTTTTATTCAAATTTATGCACCAACCATCAAAGCAAAAGATGAAGAAACTAAAGACTCTTTTTTTTTTTTTTTTACCAACTTCTACAGTCTGAAATTGACCAAACATGCAATCAAGGTATATTGATGATTACTGGTGACTGGAATGTGAAAGTTAGAAACAAAGAAGAATCATCAGCAGTTGGAAAAGATGGCCATGGTGATAGAAATGACACTGAAGAGCACATGATAGAATTCTGCAAGGCAAATTATATTCATTGCAAATACCTTTTTTCAACAACATAAATGACAACTATACATGTGGACCTCGTCAGATGGGATACACAGAAATCAAATCAACTGTATCTGTGGAAAGAGACAATGGAGAAGCTCAGTATCTTTAGTCAAAACAAGGCCAGGAGCTGACTACGGAATAGACCATCAATTGCTCATAGTCCAGTTCTAGTTGAAGCTGAAGAAAATCAATACAAGTCCATGAGAGCCAAAATAGGACCTTGAGTATATTCCACCTGAATTTAGAGGCCATCTGAACCATCTGATAGATTTGACACACTGAGCACGAGTGATCGAAGACCAGAGGAGTTGTGGGATGACATTAAGAACATCACAACACATAAAAAAAGCAAAAGATGATTAAAAAGACAAGAAAGGAAGAAAAGACAAAATGGATGTCAGAACAGGTACTCCGAAACTTGCTCTTGAATGGAGAGTAGCTAAAGGAAAAGGAAGAAATATTGAAATAAAAAAGCTGAATAGAAGATTTCAAGGGTAAAGAAGACAAAGTAAAGTATTATAATGAAATGTGCAAAGAAATGGAGTCAGAAAACCAAAAGGGAAGAACATGCTCAGTACTTCTCAAGCTGAAGGAAATGAAGGAGAAATTTAAGCCTTGGATTGCAATACTGAAGGATTCTATAGGCAAAATATTGGACGATGCAGGAAAATCAAAAGAAGATAAAAAGAAGAGTCAGTGTACCAAAAAGAACTGGTCAACAATTAAGCATTTCAGAAGGCAGCATATGATCAAGAGCCAATGGTATTGAAGGAAGAAGTCCAAGCTGCACTGAAGCAACTGGTAAGAAACAAGGCTCCAGGAATTGACACAATACCCACTGAGATGTTTCAACAAATGAATGTAGCTCTGGAGGTGCTTACTCGTCTATGCTAGGAAATTCGGAAGACAGTTACCTAGCCAAACAACTGGAAGAGATCCTTATTTGTACCCATTCCAAAGAAAGGTGATTCAACAGAATGTGGAAATTATCAAATAATATTGTTAACATCACATGCAAGTAAAATTTGGCTGTAGATAATTAAAAAATGGTTGCAGTAATATACTGACAAGGAGCTTCCAGAAATTTAAGCTGGATTCAGAAGAGAACATGAAATGAAGGATATCACTGCTGATGTCAGATGGATCTTGGCTGAAAGCAAAGAATACCAGAAAGATGTTTATCTGTGTTTCACTGACTATGCAAAGGTATTTGACTGTGTGGATCACAACAAATTATGGATAACATTGAGAAGAATGGGAATGCCAGAACAATTAATTAATTGTGCTCACAAGGAACTTACAAATAGACCAAGAGGCTGTCATTTGAATACAACTAGGGAATACTGCACAGTTTAAAGTCAGGAAGGGTGTGTGTCAGGGTTGTTTCCTTTCACCATATTTATTCAATCTGTATGTTGTTGTTGTTGTTATGTGCTGTCAAGTCGGACCCGACTCATAGCGCCCCCTCCTTGGGTTTCCGAGGCAGTATCACTACGGAAGTAAATTGCCCCATCTACCCTGCATGTAGCCGTGTCATTGTTCAGCAGCCTGCCATGCTCCACCAACCTTGGGACTTTCAATGGACTTGAATCTATGGCCTGCCGTGTGTTTGGGAACATTGGGACTGTGCCATTTTATTTGTTGACCTTGGGCTTGTTAGCCTCAGCAGCCAGTAGCTGCCTGAGTGAAGAGATGCCTCTAGCTTTAGTGGGCTGGGAGCAAGAGGCAGAGCTGAAGCCCAAAGTTGAGGGGCTTTCACACAGGCCCTAGAGCCTGGCACTTTGAACTTGGACTTCTAGCCTTCTAAACTGTAAGAGAATAAACTCCTGTTTCTCAAGCCATGCCATTTGTGGTATATTCCTGTCAGAGTGGCACCAGGTAACCAGAACAAACCTCAACAAAATGGACTGACACACTAGCTCCCACACGATGGATTCAAGCACAACAAAGATGTAAGGATGGCAGAGGACAGGGCAGTGTTTTGTTCTTTTGTACATAGGGTCGCTATGAGTCTGAATTGATTCAGTAGCACCTAATAATAACAACATATGATTTCTAGCTTAATATCAGGTAAGACCCTTGCCTTAATCATACTGTGACTTTTTGATACCTGAGAAAGTAGAATAAAATTAGTTTGTCATGTTCCTTATAAAATTAGCTTTCTCAACTTCAAGTATGAATATAAATAAAAAAGTAAAATAATTTAATAGGTATATGAATTATGAGATTTTAGCATTAGCAAGAATGATTGTACGCTAAAGGGATTAATAAGTTAACAAACTTTATGAACTTTCCAAACTCACTCACAGTATGTGAAACTTCCTAAAGTTAAATTTGACCACAAAATCTTTGTTGGATTAAGCATCACCAGGCACTGGTGTTTCAAAGACTACACTTTGGGAAATATGGTATTATGCCAATGTTCAAAGGACTATAGTTACACAAAGCAGAATTATATACAATTTACACCTGGATTTAAAGTCTTGGTATGGAGAAAAGGTATACATATAAACAATAAAACTAATAATGCTATGAGCCAAAAAGGCAAGATCACAGTAGGCTGTTAGAACAGTCAATGACAATCTTTTGATACTCAAACATGAGTTTTGAGAATGAAATGCTGAGTATTTATATCCTTTGCAGTGCGCCTGTAATTTTGGTGTGATGCATGTCACTGGTTGAATAAAACTCAGAGCAGCTAAATAAAATGTTAAGCATTTGACATATGTTCCTTTAATTTTCCCACAACTCTTAAGATGTATATATTGTTATTTCCATTTTACAAACTTAAGTCCCAAATGCTAAAACTTACTTGTCTAGGTCATATAACGTATGTGAAATTCGTACAATGACTTCTACGCCAGCTTCTGTAGCCAGTTTCTTAATTGCTGCATCTCGTTCCTTTCCAAAGGGCTCAGAATCATACTCAATTGAAAGTTTTGTAATGTCCCATTCCTAAAATAAGAGTATGGGAACAAAAGTATACAAATTTTAATTATTATTATTTCTTCTATCACAACAAAGAATGGAAAAAAGTAGAAAACTCAAAATCTACATCATTGATGATACATAAATTAAACTAAATATGTAGGAATAAAATATATAATGTATCAATTCAACATATGTATATACAAATGTATACCGACAACATTCGGACATTATGCTAGGCATCAGAAAATCTAGCAATATGCTTTTAGCAGTTTCCTATACTGACTGTATTTGTATAAGACTTTACCTTTCTCAAATTATTTACACAGACGTTATCTCATTTGATCCTTAAAACAGCTCTCAGAGTCTAATATGTTGGTTGGTATATCTCGACTTTACAGATAATTTTCTTTAAAAATGTAGGGATTTGCCCAGGTTTACAGACAATTAAAACCTGAATTTATGTGGCTGGTACCTGTAAAACCTGGTCTTTAACAAACTTTTGACAGGTGATATGGTTTAAGCTGCTTTGCTGAAGATATAAACTAGTATTATTTCTGAGGGTCAAAACAATGTTAACAGGAAAATCTGGAGACAATAACCATCCTAGCAGCTATTTACTGAGTGCCAGGTGCTACACTCTTATGTTCTTCACATATATCCTCTCTTCAAACTGATTTTAATGAGACTGTAACTAAAGGAATTAAGCAATTTTCCAAGGACGTAGTGAAGTTTTTTAAATTCTAAAATCTACTTTCATATCTTACACACACACACAAACACTCACACAATCACTTGTAAATTCTCTAAACCCCCATAGCTTGGATAAAAGCTGTTCCCATTTTTTTTTTTTTTGGGGGGGGGGTGATCCCATTAGTAAACTTTTCTTTTTGGCATTATGTAATAGGCTAAGGAAGAAGGCTAAATTGGTATTCTATTAATGTGTTGGAGAATATTTTAAAAATTCCAATAAAGAGTCATTTCTTAAAGTTTCACAGTAGCCACTGAAAGAGAAAAAGATGTAACATTTAATGACAAACAGAAATCTGCTTTGATAATGTACGTGTAATGAATCGAGGTAGGCCACAGATAGTACATGAAAACAAACAATATTTTCCACTCAGTCAAGTATACTGACTGAAGGCTGACATGATCAGATTTTTATGGGGAAGTGAAATTTGGAAATTCTAAGAGGCATAAGCAATGATGAAATCATCAAAAGACTCAACAATTACATGGCAGCAGAGCTTATCATTATTAGCCACAGGGCTTCATAATGCCAATTCGACTCACAGTGACCCCTCCTTGGATTTTTGAGGCAGTATCTCTATGGAAATAGATTACACAATCTTCCTTCCAAGGAGCGGCTGGTGAGTTTGAACCGCCAGCCTTCTGGTTAGCAGTCAAATGCCTTAGGCACTATGCCACCAAAGCTTCCATTTTATAAAGCAGATGTAAAACAAAAACATTAAAGCAGAGAAAAAGATGTGTACTGAGATATACTGAGTTAGAAAACAGAATATGTAAAGTTTTGAATTTACAATTTTGGGTGTTTTAATGAGATTGTTTTTAAGAATAATCATTTTAGGGAAAAAGCCATGTTGTCATTTGAACAATGCCTACATTTTAAATTTTTACAAGTGTTTCCTGTGAGGAGAAAACACATCAAATAGGTAAAATGTATCCAGCTGTTGGAAGTTTTAGGTCATGTCATACATACATACACACATACATTTGTATATATGGAGCTCTGGTGGCATAGTGCCTAAGGCATTTGACTGCTAACCAGAAGGCTAGTGGTTCAAACCCACGACAGCCACTCCTGAGAAGGAAGACTGGGCAATCTACGTACATAAAGATATCACCTCGGAAACCCAAGGAGAGGTCACTAGGACTCAGATTCAACTCAACAGCAGTGAGTTTGTGTGTGTGTGTGTGTGTGTTTTGCATTCAATGATTTATACACATTTTGTTTTGTGACACTGGTGGCAAATCCCCTGAATGCAGCATCACTCTTCCTGTTTCCTCCACTGGGTTCCCCCTTACCATCTGTCTTTCTTTCCTGTCCCTTCCTGCCTTCTGGGCTTTGTTACTGGGTAGGTACCGCCCTTCTGGTCTCATATGGTTGACTGTTCTGAGGAATACATTCTTCACAGGTGTTATTATTCACTTTATAGACCTATTTTCAGCTGAAAGTTGATCCCTGGGGGTGGATTTACCCATTTTTTCTTTTTTTTTAAAAAGCTATTATAAACCTTGCATTGTATGTCTTCATAAATACATCTTAACATTTTGGGGCATTTGTCCTATTATTTCCTAGAAATAATTCCTTGAAAAACAATTCATAGGTCAAAGATAAGCATATTTAAAATTGAGACACTGCCAATTTTTCCACCAGATATACTGTACCAATTTATACCCCCAACAGGAGTACACTGGAGTGCTTACTCCTCACACACTCTTTCCAGTAATACGTATTAGTAATGTTTTTCAATCTCTGCTAAACTACTGGGAGAAAAGCATCTCATTGTTTTAATTTTCCTTTCTTCAAAGTCTTGAATGCACACCAAGCTCTTAATATCTGTTACCTTGGAGGAGTAGAATTTGCAACTGTAAATAAGATGATTTTATTTTATTTTATGCGCACTGCTGCACTGTTCAGGTTTGTTAGTATAGGCAAATGTCTTAAATTCAAAAATTAATTAAAACGAGAAAGTATTATATTTCTTTGTTTTATAGTGAGGCAATGTAGAGCAGAATCTAAAGTCATACATCATTTTTTTTTTCTCTTTAGCCAAAATTCTTTCTTTTTTAACTTTTCATCATGATTTGAGTAACAGTTTACAAAGCAAACTGGTTTTCCATTCAACTACTCATACATGTTTCGTTTTGGGATACTGAATGCAGTTCCAACAATGCAACAGCACTCTTCCCACTTCCTTCTGTGTTTACCATTTCCATTTGCCCCTCTGTCCTATCCATTCCTGCCATCTGAGCTTTATCCCTGGGTAAATGCTGCCGATCTCACGTGGTTAACTGTTCTAATAAGTGCATACCTCCCTGGTGTCACTGTTCACCCCATACACCTACTGGCTGAAAGATGAGCTCTGGGGCTCAGTTCAATTCTGGGCTTGAAGGGTGACTAAGGGCCATAGTCTCAGAGTTTCCACCAGTCTCTATCAGATCAATAAGCCTGTTTTTTTTGGTTGTTCTTTTTTTAATGATTTTTAAAGTCAGACTTGAGTTCAAAGACTGGCTCAACTATTTTAAGCAAGTTGCTAAACTCTCCATGCCTGTTTTCCTAACCTATAAACTGGGGATAAAGTGCTTAGAAGAGTGTCTAACACAATATTAAGCATTTGTACAGTAAAAAGTAAAGGAAAAAAAAAATAGTATTAGGTTATCGGGTTGCTTAAGGAGTAAATGAGAGAATAATGCATGTGAAGTGCTTAGGACAAAGCCTAGTACATAGTAAGCCCTCAATAAACGACAGCTATTATTTTCACTTGTTGTTATTAGCTGCTGTTGCAATGACTCTGACTTATGTAGACCTTATATATAAAAAGAACAAAACTTTCAACAACAAAATAAGTAAAATTTAGGGGGAAAAAAACCGAATAAAACATTGCCTGGTTCTGCCTCATCTTAACTGTAGGTTATGTTCAAGCCCACTTGTGGTTATGGTGTCAACCAACTCGTGGAGGGTTTCCCACACTCTCACTGGCACTCTACTTCATCAAACATGAAGTCCTCATCTAGCAATTAATCCTTCCTGATGAAGTGTCTAAAGCAAGTGAGTTGGACAATGTTCTGTTGTGATCTGTAAGATTTTTATTGGGTATTTTTTGAAGCAGACCACCAGGCTTTCCTTCCTAGTCTTTTTTCCTCCCTTGATACCTGTCCATTATGAGTGACTTCACTCATATTTGAAATACTGGTGGCATAACTTCCAGCATCATAGCAACATGTAAGTCTCCACAGTATGACACACTGACATGGGTGGTAGATTATTTTTACTGTTGTTTGTGTATTTCTTCTTTTGTGAGATGCAGCTTATGTTTACTTGATCTTCTAATCCCTCATGGATTTGTAAGAGCTCCTCATATTTTAAAGGTAGCAATCCTTTCCTGGTTACAAAACTTTTTCCTAAATAGTAGTGTATCACTTTATGATTTCTCAACATGCAAATTTTTAGTGTTTAGACAGTAAATGCTAGAGCTTAACAGTCCATAAATACTACTTGCTCCTCTTTTCCCTTCTTGAATTTAGATACAACTGAGTATTAGACACGTAGGTCAGAGAGCTAAAAATCAAAATATAAACCACATTACTACTAAAGTCAAACTGGAGAAAATATGCCAGGTTTAAGGGCAGGTGAACTTGCTAACATCCTACCCCTGAGTTTAACAGACTTGACTACCAATGATAGGTAGTGTCTGCCCTGCAATCTGGACCTGCCTATATAAGAAATTATGACATGGAGGAAGAAAGCAAAGTATGTGCTCTTGGCAACTGAAGGGAAAAAGAACAGCCTGAGCTATGCATGTCCAGCTCGTTCTCCTAAATTTACCAAAACAAGATAATTCACTTCTTCTTCCCTGGGGTTAAATTAGTAAATGTTCTCCACAAGAAATAACAAAAAGTTAGGGAGGAAAAAGATCCCTAAACAGCAAATTTATTCATTCACATACTAAATATTTACTAGAATTCTCATTATGGGTCAGATACTATGGCTAGGTCTCTGCCTTCCTGAAGCTTGTTAAGGAAGACTAATAATACCAATAATAGGTATTATTAGGGAGAAAAAGCTATGATAGAGAATATTACGGGGGGAGGTCTGTTAAATATCAACTTTTTTCCTTGCCTGACTGTAATGGCTAGGACTTCCAGTAAGTGGTAAAACAGAATATCCTTGCTCTGTTCTCTTATCTTAGGTGGAAAACATTCACTGATTCACCATTAAGTGTAATGTTGCATTTTTTATAGACATCTTTTACAAACTAAGGAAACCTCTTTCTATTCCTAATTTTCTATTTCTAAATTCTTAAAAATCATGAATGAATAGTGAATTTCATTAAATGCTTTTTCTGCATCTACTGAGCTAGTGAGAGCCCTGGTGGCACAGTGCTTAAGCACTCAGATATGAACCAAAAGGTTCAAATCCACTAGCCCCTCTGCAAGAGAGAGATGTGACAGCCTTGGAAACCCTATGGACCAGTACTCCTCCCTTATCAGCACAGTTAGGTTCAGAAGACCAGGTTGTTATGTGAAAATTGGCAGCACACAAAAAATGGAGGACGACCACATCGGATCACAAAATAGAGGACTCCATCATTACATAACTGCCAAATGACATCACTATATAACTTCCAAACCACTGAGAATCAGGGCCCAGCTAAGCTGACACTTAACATTAACCATCACAGCCAGCGTTACTCTCACATCTTGGCATTCATTACTACCAGATGTACATCATTAAGGCACAAAATAGCTAGATAGTAGATTTTTTACTGTTGTTGTAAACATGAAAGGTCTGATAATGAGATAGTCAATAAGTGAAGATTAGGTGCATAATGAAAAAGGAATTAACTCTTTCTATGGCTTTAGACATAGTATATAAATCTGAAAGGAATTTTTTATAGAATGGCGTTTTATATAGATTATTATATGTAGCTGAAGAAAATACAGAACCAAATAATAAATGATCCATGTGTGTTGTGTTTATACTTATGTATCTATCTGTATTTTATGGCCCATGTGGAAACTCTTGCCTCTCTGCCAAACCAACAAGACAGAACATTTTCAAAATGCAAAAGATAGTTTGATCCATTAATATAATGTTTTGGGAAGAAGAAACCTCAAAACAAAAAAGCACAAAAGACTTGTTGGCTTGAAAAAATTTGTTCAAAAACAAGTAAATACATGGTTCATTATTTTTAAAGCAACTGAAGTTCTTTTAGGATTCAATTTACTTGTACCAAATGCATTTAGATTTATCCACACACACTCTTGAATTCCTGAGTTGCTAATAAACTGTTGCCGCTCTTTCTGATATGCTTTCTAATTAGAATTCTTCCATGGACCTAAATTAAATTCTGACTACAAGCAACTGCAATAGTGAACAGACTTCAATAAAAGATCAGTTTTCACTAGCCAAGTCTGATACATCAGCTAAACCTTAAACATTAAAGGTTTCTTTTAAAGCAGTGGAAAAAAGGAACTGTTCTTTTCTGCAATGGAAACAGAAATACTGCAATTACGACAACTTGATGATTGAAAACAACTGCAAGAAAAAGCAGATAGACACTTAGGAATTCTCAGGCAGTAAATAGGAAAGCATAGATATAAAAGGACAGTCAGGACACTCAACTTCTGACATGAGCACTTCCATGAGGTAGCTGTATGACCTTGGGTAACTCATTTTATCTATCTAGGTCTAATTTTTTCAACACCAAAAAGGGGAAAATAAGACTAGGAGCTTTTGAGATACTAACAAATGAAGAAGCAAAACAACACAACTAAAATTTTTTATTTTTTATTATGTATAGCATGTCAATCATTATAATCCTTTGTCTCAGAGAGTTCTCATCTAAGAATTATCCCTTAGATGTATTGGCACATGTGGGCAAAGATACACATATGTGGTCAAGGATGTGTACTGGCAGCATTATTTGTAGTAGCAAAAGGCCTGGAGAAAAAAAGAACTGATGTTCCATAGAAAGCTAGTTAAAGAAATTATGGAACATCTACATGATGGAATACTACCATGGAGCCATTTAAAAGATTGAAGAAGTTACCTGCATTGATATGGAACAATCTCCAAAATATATGGTTATGTGCACAAAGCAAGGCACAGAATGGTATACACACTGAGCACCCATTTGGTTTCAAGAAAAGGAGACAGTGTACATACACACATATATAAATTTTTGTTTATGCAAAGAATATTTCTAATGGATACACAAGAGACTGTGTGGGATTTGGTTGCTTCTAAAAGGGGGAACTAATTGTTAAAGTAAACATAGATTTCATTTTTCATTGTAAACAATTATTTTACCGTGTTTTAGTTAAAAATACTAATATTTACCACCTCTGCAAATGCCTTATTTACCAAATATGTTATCTTCTCTGACAAAAAAATAATAATATTTTTATGCAAAGATTTTTTAAATTACCTTGAAAAGCCTAGGGAACACATCTGCTGGCTGTCCACGAATCACAAACAGACGAGAGTTTAATTTTCGTAGATTGGCATCAAGATCCTCAAGACACTGAAGCAAAAATCTAGAGAAAATAAGATATGAAAATTCTTAAAATATTTATTTAGAAGACAGACAGTATTGTAGAACTGTGGCTTTCTAAAAGTTGAAACAGTAACCCATCATCTTCCTCTAACCCATCATCTTCCTCTTATCATCTTATTTTTATTGTATATAATATAAATTCCTGCTTCCAGAAGCCATACTTAGAAATGTAAAAGAAAAAAATTACTGTGCAGTTTTCCAATATTTGAATATATTTTCTAAATTAAGTATCAAAAGTTTTCATTAAATATAAGTGACTGTTGGCGAAAATTTACTTTTTGAACATTAAAGTTACAGCTGACCCTTGAACAACACAGTCTGAACTGCTTAAGTCCACTTATATGTGGATTTTTTTTTCAAGACAAGGAGCTTGGAGAAATCCAGGAGCTAACAGACACCACACCAGAGGAATCAAAAGAAGATGACTTGATGGAGATGAGTGTTTCCAAGCCAGTGCCAGACGATAAGGAAGAAGACACAGAAGTAGCAGGGTCAGAAAACAAACTGACAACAAACAAGCTGGCAGGAGGATTCTGATTATTCAACTGCTTTTTCTTTTTTGTGACCTAGACTTATCTATGATATGGGCACTAAAAGCAATGCAAATGGTGGAAAAAGGAATGGTATGGTATAGAAACATTTTTAGAGAAATGAGAAAGCAAAAGTCAGACAGAAATTATGATGTATTTCTGTTAAGTTACACCCAGAGTGCCTGCCTGACCTCTCCTGCCTCCCCTTCCACCTCCTCCACCCCTGCTACCTCTGTCACCTGAAACAGCACAACCAACGCCTCCTCTTCTTCCCTCTGCTCAGCCTACTCAATGTGAAGGCAAGGGTGAAGCCCTTTTTGATGATCCACTTCCACTTAATGAACAGTAATGAACAGTAAATAATCATGCTGTATAGTGAATAAACGTATCTGTTGTATACGTGTGTCAATGTCTTCGGGTGAAAATCTAGTAACTGTATGGTACAAACTGTGTTAATCAACTGTTTATGTTATTGGTAAGGCTTCTGGTCAACAGTAGGTTATTAGTAGTTAAGTTTTGGGGGAGTCAAAAGCCCAACTGTATGCAGAAAAATAGTGAAGTTATTAAATAACTTGACCTCCAGTTTAAACTTGATAAAATGAACTGAAGTTCATACAGAAAAATCACCATAAAAAAAATCTAAAACTTTATTCTATTGGGAAAAAAATTGAAACATCACACTGAATCACTCTGAGCAACTGAATAATTCAAGAATTTGAGTACTTTACTGGCTGATACAGTAAACATTTAAGAGAGAAAATACAATGCCTACTCTTAACTTTTTAAACTAATTAAAGTAAAAGAAACTAACAGATGCTAAATTATGTGGCATTAATTCTCTGAGGATAGAGAAGACCACATTATTCAACAAAACTTTTATGGAGTAGGTGGGAATATAGACTTTTTCAAGGAACTAAGTATAAACAAGGATCACACATGACAGATTATCTTGGGAAATTATGAGTTGGTACTGGATAATGTCTTACTGTACATCTTCTGTTGTGAAGAAATGGAGCATTTAAGAGCTAATATGAAAGACAAGTCACCCTGAAAGGTTCAACCGCACTGTCTCATGCTAACGTTCCCTAACATTTCATCTAAATTCTGTTCCACTCAGTTAGACATCCTCCGTTTCTTCTCTACTTTACTTTTTTATGTTCTTGTTGTTACGGTTAATTATTTGTCAGCTCTTCTACAAGCTACGCACACTTTAAGAGCAGTGACTATGTCTTACTTGTTAGGAGGAATGGTAAGGGTTAGGGAAAGCATGGTCCACAGCTGCACTGTCTGATATACTAGCCACCTAGCCATGTATAGCCATTTAAATTTAGATTTAAACTAATTAAAAGAGAAAATTCAGTTACTTAGTCATACTAGTCACATTTCAAGTCCTAAACAATCATGTGTGTCTAGTAATTACCATAGTGAACAGCACAGATAAAAAACAGGGCCTGGTATTACTGCAGAAAGTTCTATTGAACAGTGCTGTTCTAGAAGGTTGTTCAGTTGAGATTATCATGCTCTTTCTGATCCCATCATTTTATTTATTTATTTTTAAACAGCTATAATTAGAGTGACATCAGTATACCTAGTCAAACTTGAAGTCTTTCCTCTTTAGGAGTCACACCATCTCCACTGCTTGAGGCATCACAGGGCTATATTCATTAAGATGTTAAAGACTTCTCACCACTTCATCTAAGCAAGTCTCACCCCAACCAAACCAACCCAACCCAACCTAACCCAACCCAACCCAACCAAACTAAACCCATGCTGACAAGTTGATTCTAGCTCACAGCAACCCTACAGGCAGAGGAGAACTGCCCCATAGGGTAAAGATTTCCAAGGCTGTAAATCTTTACAGATACATTTGCCACATCTTTCTCCCAGTTGCCCTTAAACAAATCGGGGGTGGGGGAGGACAAAACTAACTTGTCTTTTCCACATTTATATTCATCACATCACCATTCCGCCGTGGCTTGGAGTCACCTCCCTAACACCTCCCATGCATCCCCACTTTACCACTACCATTGTGAAAATAAGGGATAAGATTTTTTTTGCTGTTGTCATTGCTATAACAACATAAGAGCATCTAAATTTCATAAAATTATCCACAACTGTGAATAATTTATCATGCCTGGAGACAAATGTTTATTGGAAAGCATCTGGCTTTATGTATTTGGTGAGAAGAATTTTTTCTTCTTTTGTTATCTGACTACACTGTAGTAGTCAGATAAAAAATTAAAAACTGGAATGAACTGGCAATGCTGTTTTCTTCAATTTAAACAACACAAAACCAAATGACCTGAAGGGATGATCCAAGGATGATCTTTTGTACCACTAGTTTCAATGTCCTTTCTCCCAGAGCTGGTAGCAAGAGTTCTCCGTACTCAAATTTTTGGTGGAAATGTTTCTATGTGATACAAACAGCTCAATGATAGACAGTAGTATGTGGAAAAGGGAAAGACTAAAAAATAAAATTAATTGATAACTAAAAACCAAAATTAATTGATAAAATGAAAATTAAGTCTGAGTTAACATAAACTGAAGTAACATGTTATAATGGCAAGTGTTTTGCAACCTATGAATTAATTTTGTTTTGGAACTTCACGAAACAAAGGAATAGAAGCATAAAGAGTGGAGAAAGATTTAGTTAACAACCTGATATGTGTAGATGACACAACCTTGTTCCTGAAAGTGAAGAAGACATGAAGCACTTACTGATGAAGATCAGAGACTACAGCCTTCAGTATGGATTACATCTAATCATAAAGAAACAAGAATCCTCACGATTGGACCAATTAGCAACATCATGATAAGTGGAGAAAATACTGACATTGTCAAGGAGTTCATTTTACTTGGGTCCACATCAACACCCAAGGAAGCAGGAGTCAAGAAATCAAACGATGCACTATACTGGTCAAGTCTGCTGCAAAAGACCTCTTTAAAGGTGTTAAAAAGCAAAGATGCCCCTTTAAGAAATATCCATGGTATTTCCAACCACCTCATATGTATGTGAAAGCTGGACAGTGAATAAGGAAGACCAAAGAAGAATTGATGCTTTTGAATTACGGTGTTGGTAAACATTAAGTATATACTATGGACTGCTAGAACAAAAAACAATTCTGTCTTGGAAGAACACTCTTTAGAAGTGAGGATGCTAAGACTTTATTCCACAAATCAGGAGAGACCAGTTCCTAAAGACAGACATCATGCTTGGTAGATGGTTAGCAAGAAAGAGGAAGACCCTCAACGAGACAGACTGACAAAGTGACTGCAACAATGGGTCAAACACAGCAATGATTGTGAGGATGCCACAGGATCAGGCAGTGTTTCATTCTACTGTACATAGGGTGGCTATAATTGGAACTGACATGATCGTTTATATTTAACAATGTTGTTGTTGTTAGGTGCCATCAAGTCATCTCCAACTCACAGCAACCCTATGTACAGCAAAATGAAACATTGCCCGGTCCTGTGCTAGCCACACGATTCTTGTTATACCTGACCCCACTGTTAACAGCCACTGTGTCAATCCATCTTGTTGAGGGCCTTACCCTTTTTCACTGACCCTCTACTTTACCAAGCATGAGATCTTTTCTCAAGGGAATGGTCTCTTCTGACAACATGAACAAAGTAGGTGAGATGAAGTCTGGCCATTCTCACTTCCAAAGAGCATTCCAACTGCACTTCTTCCAGGACAGATTTGTTAGTTCTTTCAGCAGTCCATGGTACTTCAGCATTCTTCACCAACACCACAACTCAAAAGCATTGACTCTTCTTCAGTCTTCCTTATTCATTGTCCAGCTCTCACATGCATACCATGGCTCGTGTCAGGTGCACCTTAGTCTTCAGTTAGCTTTGCTCTTCAGCACTTGAAAGAGGTCTTTTGCAGCAGATTTGCCCAATGCTATACATTGTCTGATACCTTGACTGCTGCTTCCATTGGTGCTGTTTGTAGAACCAAGTAATATGAAATCTTTAACAACTTCAATCTTTTCTTCATTTATCATGATGCTGCTTATAGGTCCAGTTGTGAGGATTTTTGTTTTCTTTATATTGAGGTGTAATCCACACTGCACACTGTAGTCTTCAATCTTCATCAGTAAGTGCTTCAAGTCATCCTCACTTTCAGCAAGCAAAGTTGTGTCATCAGTGTATTGGAGGCTGTTAATCAGTCTTCCTCTAATCTTGATACCACGTTCTTCATATAGTCCAGCTTCTTGGATTATGTGCTCAGCATTCAGATCGAACAAGTATGGTGAAAGGATACAACCCTGACACACTCTGTTCTTGATTTTTAAACCATGCAGTGTCTTCCTTGTTCTGTCTGAACAACAGCCTCCTGGTCTGTGTATAGGTTCCTCATGAGTACAATTAAGTACTCTGGAATTCCCATTCTTCTCAATGTTATCCATAATTTGTTACGATCCACACAATCTAATGCTTTTGC